AGTGTCACTGGCCCTCATATGTGGGATCCGAACCGGGGCCCTCTGGCATCCCAAGCGAGTTCTTAACCATCGCGCCACTCGGCCGGCCCTAGTGATTTTTTAAAGAAAGAAAGTATCTGTATTGTATTTATTTCTGAGTAGTTGATGTATGTATGTACATGGTGCAAAAAATGTTGGAGGTATCTCCCCTCCACCCCCACTTTCACCCTCCCTTCCCACATCCGAGTTCCCACCCCAAAGGCCCTGGTGTTATCAATTTCTTACTCTTCCTTTCTGATATTTTTGCTGCCTTTGCAAATACATTTGTGTGCACCTGTCTTTCTCTTGCATTTGTTTTTCATTCCATAAATGCTTACACACTGGCTTTTTAAAAATTATGATAAAATGTACATGACATAAAACTTACCACAAACCATTTTAAAGTGTACAGCTCGGTGTCATTAAATACATTCACCATGTCTTACAGCCATCACCTCTATCTAGTTCCAGAACATTTTATCACCCCAAAAGGAAACCTGGTCCCAATGAGCAGTCACTCCCCATTCTCCCTCCACCATCTCTGGCAACCACTAATCTTTCAGTCTCTATGGATTTGCCATTGTGGGCATTTCATATAGATGGAATCATACACTATGTGGCCTTTTGTGACTAGCTTCCTTCCCTTGGCATGGTGTTTTCAAGGTTCATTCTTGTATGTATCAGAACTTTGTTCCTTTTTATGGCTGAGTAATAACCCATAGTATGGGTGGACTACGTTTTGTTTATCGATGCATCCCTTGATGGACATTTTATCTTTACATTGGGGCGATTGTGAATAGTGTTACAGGACATTCAATGTACAAGTATTTGAACACAGTACTTTGAATTGTTTTGGGTTTATACCTAGGCCTGTGGAATTCCTGGGGCCTGTGGTAACTATGTTTAACTTCTTGAGGAACTGCCAAAGTTTCCACTGCAGCTGCACCATTTTATTGCATTTGGCTTTCCAATGTAACCAACTTGCTTTTTTTTCTTTTTTTTTAAGAGTCCTTCATCTTCCTCTCTGCCCCTTCATCTTACGTACCATGGACACTGCATTAGTGGTTACACTAATGTAACAACATTAGTGTTTACAGTGTTGCAAGCCAATACTTGAACACACATCTTGGCTGCTCCAGCCAGGATTTTTTTTGGCTCTATTTGTCCTCCCCTAAAGACATGCTCATGTGCTCTTGCTCCAAATCCTAACCCCTCCCATGTGTGACCTGGGACAAATGGCTTAGCTGCTCTGGGCCTCAGTTTCCTCACTTGCAAAATGGGATAAGAATAGTTCCTCCTTCCAAGGGTTTTGGGAGATTAAAAAAAGAGAACCCCAGTGATACACTTGAACAGTATCTGTGGGTGGTTTGGGTACCAGTGAACACAAGCCTTACTCCCAGTCCCTCTTGGCAGCAGCCTGGGACTCAGTTTTTGCCCCTCAGCCCTGATTCTGGGTGCTATCAGTTTTCTCCCTATTTTCTGGTGTGATGGAGGAAAATGAAACCCACTGTGACTTACCTCTCTTCACATCCCAGGCTTCTAGCAACACATGCACTTTGCACCAGACACTTATTACGTATTTGAGCTATAAAACCTGATTCTGGGTGAGATTTTCATTCTGTTCTCTTCTCCAGCTTGGTTTGGGTCTTGCTCCCACGGCCAGATGAGGCCGGCTCTGAATTTTCTGAATTCTACCTGAAGCTGCCAGAGACCAAAATAGCCGCTGAGTGTGTGACCTCCACTCTGAACTTGCAAACAGCTCCTGGGCAGTCCAGAGACGTCTGCCCTGGGTATTCTGAGGCCCTGGCCAGAGGCATACTGGCCTTCATCAGCACACTGGCTAATTGGGGGCAAAGGCTGCTTGGAATGAGATGTCAGTTACCCAAGTCCAAAATCCAGCCCTGTTTCTGAGAATGTGGCCAGAAACTCAGCTTTATTTTTCTGACTGTTTTTGGTGGAATTCTGGCCTCTGATGAATGTTGGTGGGGGACCAGCTGCGTGCCAGGTTTATATTGGGTGCAGAGACACAGCTGTAATGGAGATGTCCTTGGCATGGAAGTCCTAACCCTTATGTCAGAGAAAATGGGAAATAAATGAGAAAAGTGGTGCCTATAAAGGAATGATTTCTGAAAGTGATCGCTGTTGTGAAGAGGATAAAATAAGGAAATGAGATGGAATTACTGGGGGGGGGTAATTTCAGCCAGGGAGGTAAGGAGGGCCTCTAGGAAGAGGTGACAGGGAGGGCCCCTAGGAGAAGGTGACATTTCAGCTGAGCCCTGAGGGAGAGAAAGCAGCTAGGTTTGTGGTATCTGCGGGACGTGTTCCAGGCAGAAGGCAGAGCAAGCTGCAAAGGCTCTGAGGTAGGATTGTGTTAGGCTCTTGGAGGACTGCTGGGGCTCGAGTGGGTTGAGTGTGGGAAGATGGAGGGAGAAGAGGCCAAGATCTCTGGGCCACATCAGCCTCATTAGCAACATAGGATCCTGCAGAGAACCTTCTGGCACCACCCACTTGTGGGTGCCAAGTTTTTGTTCCCCAGCTCGACCTCTTGGCCTGAATACCATTTCTGTGACCCCAGGAGGCCCTAGCTGAGTGGCCTTCCGAACTATGCCTCAGGTTCCTCATCTGTAAAACGAGGTGAATAACGGAACCTTGCTCATAGGAAGTGTGTGTGTGTCTGGCGGGGGGGGGGGAGCAGACAGTTCACGACAGTAGGCATACAGCAGATGCTAAAAGAACACTTGTGGAATAAATAACCGGCTTATCCTCAGCGCCTGACTCATTCCCTCATTCCCTACGGGACGAACGGTCCCCATCTTACGGGTGGGGAAACTGAGGCTGGGGAAGGCGGGGGACAGGCGGCGCTCCTGGGTTGAGCACCGGGCTCGGGGCGCGTATGCTGCGTCTCGGCCCCGGGGGCGCGCACGCCGAGAAGCCCGGCCTGGGTGGGTGGGACCGGTGGGAGCGAGCATGGCCGGGGGTGTGGCCAGGGCCGGGCGGCGGGACCGTGGGCGGGACCTGGGCGTGGCCGGGCGGCGGCGGCGGCGGCGTAGGACGCGCCAGTTCGGACTCAGGCGGGTTTGAGGTGCAGCGGGAGCGCCATGGAGCAGCCCCGGAAGGCGGTGGTAGTGACGGGTACGCGCTGATGGCGGCGGCCGGGGGCGGGGCGGGCAGCCCCCGGGGCGGCGGGGCCGGGAGGGGCGCGGTGGCCCGGGCTGGGCAGGTACTGGAAGTTGTGCCCGGTTTAGAAGATGTCATTGCCCGCAGGAGCCCAGCTGGGTCGGCGCGATGTAGAAAGTGAAGGGGGCGCTCCTGTGGTCCTAGTGTCAGGGTCGAGGCGGGCAGGGGCTTGAGGGTCCGGTCGAGTGCCCCGCGCCGAGCAGGGCCCTCTGGCGTCTTTCCTTCCCCGGGTGGACACTGACCCACCAGGCACCTGCCTGTTCCGTCTGGCCGGCCGGTGGACTGGACTGAACTCCTCCTCCTGCTCCTTCCTTGGTCGGGCCTGTTCCCACCCCCGGCCCCAGGGGACAAAGGCCGATTTGCGGGCAGGAAGTGCCCCGGTGACAGATGAACCTCCTGCCAGCCACTGCTCCCCGAGCCCTGCATTAATGGGGGACTGCTCCTGAGAGTCAGGCCAAGTGGAGCTTGGGGGACTTCGGGTGCCTGGCCGCCCTCCGGTTGTGCCAGGGATCGTCTTGGTCAAAGTCTTTTCTGCCCGAGCTGTTTGTGGGTGAACCCAGTCCCCGCTGTCACCAACTCCCTGTCACCAACTCCCGAAACTAACTGTTCCTCCTTGAGGAGACTCCACCTCGTGGCCACGTGGGCGTCAACTTCCGCCAGGTGTGTGACTCGGGGGTCATTTTGATCCGCTGTCTGGAGGGGTCGAAGTGGGAAACCCAGCTAAGGTTCACACAGATGTTCTATGGCCGGGGAGGGTAGGACTGGTCCTGGAATTCCCAGGAAGATGGAAGAAGCCACTCACTCACCTGATTAACAGGTGTGTGTAATTGGGGGGAGGGTCACCGCCCTCTGCAGCCCTCCTGTGTCTGGTTCTTTGTTGCTCTGGTGCTGATTATGCAGGCACCCACACTCCTGGGCATTTTCCTTTCATGAGCTCATGATATCTTAACTGTCTCCATTTTGCAGAGAGGGAAACTGAAGCTCACAGAAGTTTGTAAGCTTGTAAGTGGTTGAGCAGTCCATGCAGGAGGAGAGAGGGAGTGGAGAGGTCCTGACTCAGCTTGTGTGTGTGTTGGGGGGGACGGAGGGCGAGAGGTCCTGCTGGTTCAGTGCACAGCATCTCTCTCAGGCCCTGACACCACTTGGGACCCTTGGCCCAGCTGGAGTGACCCATGCTTCCCTGGCAGCCTCTCTTGAAGATGTTTATTTTTTAGGCAGGGTGACAGGGTGATGAGAAGAGGGAAACAAGTCATGGGTCTGGGTTTGAACCCAGCTCTTCCATCTTCTCGCTGTGTGACCTTGGGCAGCTGGCTTCACCTCTCTGGGCCTCAGTCCTACTTCTGTGAAATGGGCCCAAGAAACACCATTGCCTGAAAGGGAATGCAGTGAGACTGAATGCCACAGTGCATGCAGAGCACTTAGCACATTTCTGGGCAACTGTCTTGGTTTGTAAATGGGGCTGGAGTTTGAGCAAGTGGGGAGGAGGGTGTCTAGACAGCCTGGCCTGAAGATACCCACACGTATCCTTTAAGGGCCATTCTTCATTCAGTGGTGATTAACAGAGTGCCTACAGCTCCTTGCATTTCCAGAATGGGGGAGAGGCCCCACAGGAAGACAGTGATAAAATAATTATACACTGGGTCAAGCACAGTGGAGAAAGTTGAGAAGGGAACAAGGCTAGCCTTTTCTGGGGCAGAAGGAGACCACTGGCCTTTTGCCGGACACAAGAGTCAGGCATAGGTGAGGAAAGGAAAGGACACACAGCTTCAGTTAAGAGCAGACAAGTGTTTGTGTGTGGAAGTGGGCAGCTCTAAAGCACCACTGGGTTTGCCCCAGCACTAGGGACAAGCCCCTGACATTGTCCCAGATGGCAGCTGCTCCTGCAGCTCCCTGCTCTGTTCTCCCACGTGGAGGCAACAGCCTTGCTCTGGGCAGGCTAGGAAGGGCCACTGTGCGGTGACATGATGCTTTTACTGTTTTTTCAGGGTTTGGTCCTTTTGGGGAGCACACTGTGAATGCCAGCTGGATTGCAGTCCAGGTAACTCGGATCCGGAGGGTAGGAATCAGGCTTGGGGCTGGGCTCCTGCTGGAAATATTTGGCACCAAAGAAAGGGAATCTACAACGAGAACATCTCCTGTGAAGCTTCCTGAGAAATATTTCAGCCTGATGTGCACATCTTCCCAGATAGCAATGCTGTTGCTTTTGTGTGTTGAGCACTGCTCTGGACCAAGCATTTTCTGTAGCCCAGCAATCTGAATTTTTCTAACAACCCCTGCGTGGTTAAGAGCAGTTATTCCTGCACCCACTTTACAGATGAGGAAACTGAGGCCCAGAAAAAGTTATCTGAAGTCACACAGCCAGAAAACCGGAGTGGCATTATCTCAGAATTGTCCCATGCCTCAGCCAGGTTTGGGAGAGACCAGGCAGAGATATTGGGGGAATGTAGTAACTGTAGAGAGGGTGCAGTGACCCTCACTGGTGCCTCCCAGCAGCTGGGGGAGGAGAAGGTTGCATATTGTGGGGGCCCTTTCCCTCTGTCCTGAGCGGGGTGTTAGCCAGTGAGCCTTGCAGTCTTTGTCAGATGGGGCATTTGGAGGGACAGACTGGGGAACAATGGGCAGAGAGAAAGAGAGAACAGTTTCTCCTTATATAAATCAGATCTGCAGAGACCAGAGCCCAACTCGAGTTAATCCTAGCCCATTAGCTCCTTGATTTAAAGCATTGCCTGTTTTCCACTCCAGAGCCCTGAATTTGGAGAAATCTCGATGGGTCAATCCCTAATTGGGCCTCTCCCCACCTTTTTTAATCACCCCTGCTCCAGACCTCAAACATCTTGGCCACTTTCCTTTTTTTTTTTTTTTACCCCACTTTGCAAGTAGGACAGAGGACAGGGTCCCCGGGACCTTGCAGATGGGAACATGTCCGAGTCTTTGCTCATCGCACCCGCTCCCTGGAGCCCCAGACAAAGAGGAAACAGCGTGTTTCTGAAGACGTGTGTGTCTGGCTTTGTGCGCGTTTCAGACCAGAGCCTTCACGGGGCTGAGTGGACACAAAGCCGTGTGTCTGAATTCCTGGGCCCCAGACACGATGATCTGCATCTAAATAGGAGAAAAATCAATTAAACAATCTTTGGAAATCCCTCTGAGCTTTGGGACTCTGGCGGGGGATGGCAGCTTTTCATCCTGCTGCCTGAGGGGAAATACCCCTTCTGTTTCAGTTGCTCATCTCTCCAGACCTCGCCTCTGGAAGACTTTCAATTTTCTTCCTCAAGTTTATGAAACAAGAAAGGATTCTCCACCATTCCCCAGCTAAAAAGATGCCAACTTGCCAAGATTTGATTGTTTACCCTTTTGGGAAAAACTGGAGTGGCACAGACATCCTTTGAATTCGTGCCCTCATGTAAATATGGAATTTTACACACATGTGTATGGAACAGGATCTAGAACACTCCAGCCTCCTCCTTGTCCTTCCTTGTTTCAGAAGCCCCTTGTGCCCCTCCTAGCTGTCTCCCTGTCTGCCACCCCCATGCCCGATAAACCTCCCGCTGACTATTGCCACCGCAGGTGAGTCTTGCCTATTCTAGACGCGGTGTCAGTGGAGATGTGCTGGATCCTGCGCCTTCTGCGCAGCATAACGTCTGTGCAACTCGCTCAGGGGTTGCCCCAGAGCTGCATGGGTGCTTTTTAGTTGCCCTGGATGAAACAGATTTGCCTGTGAAAAGAGTGCAGCTGTTGGATGGGTCAAATCTATCCCTCAAGAAAATAGGCCTCAAGTGTGCTTGGTGTGGTCCAGACTTGAGTTGCAGGAGCAGCTGACATCAGTCACCTGATGGGGGTGGGGGGTGGGGGGCTTGGTTAAATGGAGCATTGTTACTTCCTGTCCTAACTGATTTTTTAGAAGCCTACATTGCCATCTGCAGAAGGAACCCCTCCTCTCTCAGGGACCAACTAACTTCTCTCCCTCCCTCTCCCTCTCCCTCTCCCTCAGCCTCCCCCCCCACCCCCGGCCCTTCAGTCTCTTTCAGTTTCTCTTGGCCTCTCTGTTGGTATGTGTCTGTTTCTGCCTCTCAATTGGTGTGTGCCTCTCCCCTTCTCTTTACATCTCTCCATCTCTCTTTCTGTTTTTCTCTGTCTCTCTCCCCTTCTATCTCTGTCTCTCTATTTCTCTTGACCTTCTGTGAGTCTCAGTCTCCCTCTGTCTCTCTTCCCTTCTCCATCTCTCTTCATCTCTCTGTCTTTTGCTCCCACCCCCCGCCCCCATCTGACCTTCCTTCTTCACGCTGTAAGTGAATTTGCTCCCCAGCAAAGGGTGAACTCTTTAACACCCGCCATGTCAAGAGGTGGGAATTGTGGGAACTGAGGGGTGACCCCCCTTTTTCATCTTTCCTCAGGATGGTGCTCCTTAGCACCTCTCACAGGAGGGACTTTATTCTTTGTGTGTCCCATCTCTGCCAGGGGGTGTGGGATACCAGCTGCATGTCTCTCTTCCTAGGAGGCCCAGGTAGGTGTCAAGGACTGGGACCCCCTTGGGGCCGTCTGGAGCCTTCCCTGCCTTAGTGGGCAAGGAGTAGCCCGGTCACAGGTCCTGGTGATATCACAGGACAATTACTGCCACAGTGAGTCTAGACAGACCTGCTAAGGATATTAACCAGGGAACAAAGGGGGTCTTTGTTGTGGGGTCAAGGGAATCGGTCAGACGCAGCCGCGCAGCGGGGTCTTGTCAGGTAGACAGGGTGTAGACAATGCACCGTCTGGGGCACCCGAGCCTGTTCCGTTCCCTTCCTTTCACGGTGTATGCTCAGCACTTGCTGCAAAGTGTTATGGGACTTGGGGTATGCTGCCAGCCCCCCAGGAGAACCGGTTGGCCCTGTCAGAACAGAAAGTTTTCACAGGCAAAGAATTTAGCGAGAGTTTATGGGCCACCCACTTCTTGTAATTTCAGACAAACATCATAGCTGCTCTTTACCCTCCGTTGCCCTTTTTGAAATTGGTGGATAATTTGCATAAAGCTACATGTGCTGATCTTCAGTATCCCTGTCACTTCAGTGAAAAGTATTTATGCCCATGTCTCCAATCAAGATAGAGGACGTTACCATCCACCCAGAACATTCCCTCCTGCCTCCCCATCCTGCCCTGGGAGCTGCTGCCGTCCTGAGCTCCGTAACCGTAGAGGAGTTTTGCTTGGTCTTGAACATACAGCACAGCCTCTGTGCCCTTGTGTGCTGCTTGCTTTTGTTCAGTCTGCGTTGGTGCGGGGGGTCAACTGGCTCTTTTCCCGACTTACCCCTCCTCCAATTGCCATTGAGATTGGGGGGCTTCAGGGTTTGCTCCCTAAGAATAAAGCAACAGGGACACCCCTGTCAGGGTCTTTGGCGAATATGTCTCGCTGTGGGGCTGCTGGCCATGGGGTGTGTGCATATTTTTTATGGTGATTTTCATAGTTTAGATATTTTTTTCCCAGTTGGAGAGGAGCTAGGTGGGCACCCAGAGGACATGAAAAGCAAAGGTTAGGTCAAGACAGTGACTCACTCTGTGGCTCCCTGGTGACGCCAGCTCTTTTCCTGCCACTAAGACTTGACGTAGGCAAGTGGCCATCCCGCTAATGCTGGAAAAGGGGGCAGTGGGGTTCACAAGGAAGGTCTGTCACCCTGAGCCGGGCA